ACAGCATTAGTGAGGTCCATTGGGGCTTCTTGATTTGGAGTTGTGAGGACATTGGTCCTCAAGACTAGTCACTAGTGTTCTTTCATTTCCAAGCCATGGGACCTTGAACAAATAAGATAACCATTTAGAAACTGTTTTCTCATCTTTAATATGAGGATGATACAATTCCTTCATGCACCTAATGATATCTGTTATTCAGGGCAAATGAGATATGGAATATAAGTATTTCTAGTGATAAGGTATTAATTTTATATTGACAATTTCAACTTCAATATGTGAGCATAAGAAATAGAATAACATGGTGTGTTTTTTTCGTTTTTGTTTTTTTGCAATTTTTTTTTGTCAGGAGAAGTTCTACAGACCATTTGGCTCCTTCCACATGTGAAAGCTGAAATGATGTAATGACAAATCGACCTCCAGTTAACTCCAAGCTTACATTAAGGATATGATTTACTACGATTCTGCTTATTGTGGAAAAACATTAATCAAGTTTTCTGTCTGACAGGTGAGTCACTGTGTTTATGTCTGTTTATGACTAGGCAAAAGCACAGAATGCCCCATGCATCTCAGTGAATTATGAAAGTCCTCTAGAAGACGTGCTTTGGCCATGGATCTTCCTGCTTATCTCTCTCCTGCAGTAGGCTGAGAATGTTTTTCCTACTAGAACTAGACTCATCACAGTTCATTTCTGCTTTGCTGGCTCCTAGGATGATCCCCATGAATTTTGAACCCCAGATTGGAAGCTGTAGTTTAATAAAAAAATACATTGGAGAAAATGGCCATACCTACTCCTTCCCATCTCACCTCTCCCAGTTCCTTGACGCTGCCACCCACCACCTTGCCTCCTTAAATATTCTGGTTCCTAAGGCTCTTTTAGTCTGATGTTCTCTTTGTGCCATGTTTTTAGGAATCCATCAGTGATCACTGCCATTTCTATACTGGAGTACACACATGGGCCAAGACCACCACATTTGATATTGAATTTCCCCCAAAATCTTATAAAGCAGATATTATTTTTCCCACTGTACATGAAGAGTCTGAAGGTTAGAGAGACTAAAAACAGCATAAGAATTTGAGCTCAAATGTTTGAGTTGAGACCCTGTGAACTGAATACCAGGCAGGTAGCCTACCTGTTTCCATGCTCTCTTACAGCACAGTGTGGCTAATCACTTTTGAGCAATAGATCTTAACTGGGTTGAAGTGAAGAGGGAGTTTTGCTCCTATAATTTCAGGAGATCCTTGGATACACATACTTGCAAATAGATGGCATTTTATTAGGAAAGGGGTTATCAGGACTCCTAGAGACCTCCCTTTAACAGCCAAGAAGGGGAACAGTCTTATTTGACTGCCATTTTGTATCAGTCACTATGAAGTCTAAATTCTAATCATGAAACCATACAAGGTTCAATGCCACCAGTGAGACAGATGTTTAAGAGCTCCGCGAGGCACTATTTGAGATTTTTAAAATACAAAACTATGGAAAGGGTAATAAATGGTTGTGAATCTATGTTTGAAACTTAACCTATTTTTTCTGAAATTGCTGACTGCTGTGGTTTGAAAATGGTTTGTTTTCCCCAAAGGCTTATGAGCTGGAGGTTTGGTTCCCAATGTAACAGTGTTGAGGGGGTAGAACTTTTAAGAGGTGGAGCCCTGTGGGAGCTAATTAGGTCTTGGGAGCTCCACCTTCTTGAATGGATTAATGCTTTTTCTCTTGGAAGTGGACCAGATCCCACAAAGATGGATTAGTTTCCATGAGAGTGGGTTTTCATAAAAAGAACGAGCCTTGTCCAACACCCCCCCCCCGCCATCTTGCTTCTTCATTCACACATGTATCCCTCTGCCCAAGGCCGGCTACCTTTCTTCCCTATCATGTCCAGGGGACCCTTGCCAGGATTCTAGGACCATGTTGTCTGGGCCCTGCAGGCACTAGAATCATGAGTCAATAAATCTTTTTACTTTTTTTAAAGTTTCTAGACTTTGGTATTTTGTTATCGCAACACAAAACAGGTAAAGATACTGATTGTAAGAGGTTAAGTCAAGTGATTTAAAATACCTCTGGTAACGTTTCCAGTCAATTTCATGTTGTTCATATACCATTTCATTTGCTTCTTAAGTATATAGGAGACATATGTGAGGGAAAAAAGTGTACTTATCTCTTTTAATGATTCTATAAAAGATGGTGAAATATTTAATAGAAAGAAAAACACATGATTCATCTATTAACTATTTCAACAAACTTTTGTCAAGTGCTTGATTTTTAAAACATACCAGTAGGATTGGAAAGCCTTCAGTCTGATAGGGGATCCAAAGATAGATGATACAAGAGAGTGAATATACCAGTTGGATAGAAGGATGAATGGAGATGGCCAGTGCTTGCTCAGTCTTGAAGAGTCAGGAAATGTCCCAGGACCCTAAAAGCAGCATAGGCCTTAAGAGGGGAGAGCGTTTCCTGCCAAGGACTTGAATAGGCGGAGCCCTGGCTCCACTTTAAGGAAATGAAAGTAGTTCACTGCTATTGGAACTGACTATGAGGGAGGAAGTAGCAAACGACAAAGGCTGGAAATAAACAGAAGTTAACTTTTAGCAGAGATTCATCATTTGGACTTTTATGTTAAGGTCACCAAGTTGCCATGAAAAAGTGCTAAGCAGCGAATGACAACAGATTTGTCCATTATGAAGATAACTCTGGCTCAGTGTCCAGGCATGAAGGAAGGAGATGAGCTCTGGACATCAAGAGCTATCGATGTTGGGAAGGAGAGCCATGGAAACAGTGAGGCAAGACTTGGTGCAGGCCTGAGTGAGGCAGTGGCATCTGGGATAGCAAGAAATGGACAGATGCAAGAGGTCTTAGGAGGACCAGAGGGTATTTTGGCTCAGCGGCATACGCATCAAAAGTGTAAGAAAAGAAAAAAAAAATGATGTGGAAATAGTATCAGACATCCAGCAGCCTTCATTTGACCACTCTGCAATTATCCTTAGAAAACATCCACATTTCACTTAAGGTGCAATTAGAAGGACTGTTTGTTGTGACAGTCAAATCCCCAGAAGGCACACGTGGATCAGGTTGGGAGGTTAGAGACTATTCTAGCCTGAATGAGGTTGTGCAATTCCAGGTAGTGAGAGTGAAGAGTGAGGGAATGGAGGAGAGGAAGAGAGAGAGCAATAATGACACTAGATCAAAGAGCTGAGGCTGTTTAGTGTAACAGAACACTCCATCCCACTGATGACAGGTGGGTCTGCTGAGAAGGTGTATAATTTCAACATAAAGGAATAAAAAGGAAAAATTCAACCACTGCCTCCTGTCTCCTGCTGGCCAAAGCTTTTTCTGATAGGGCATGAACCTCCCTGTGTTTCCATGATGGACATACGTGAGTACGATAGTTGTCATGTGGAAGGTGGCTCCAGGCAGGAGGTGAAAAGCTGAGGTGCTGTCCAGTTACACCTTCATGCAAGTAGTCAGAACATACCTCAGGAGTGGGACATCGCAGTGGTAGCTTTGAAGGAAACAGGTGGAACAAAGAACAAATACAGTTGTGCCCCTTGTGCTGTCCAGGTCCCCTTTGCCCCACTGTTATATCCAGCTCTCCAGGAGAATAGAAAGCATGAGTCCAATCTAGCACAGGGTCCCCTTCAAGGTTAAGGTCAGTTAGTCTGGTTGAAGATAAGTAAAGCAAACTTCAGTCTACACAATTCTAGCTGGATCTGCAGTCATCATTAAGATTTATCTCCAATCTCTTCCAATAGCCTCTACATCCCTCACCATCATCCAGCACATTAGCTGTTTGGGCTAATGTCCTGGTAGGGCTGTAGAGACCTTCAGTTTTAGGGGCTGGTGCCTTATTTTCTTTGTTTTTAGTGGGCATTGTTGCAACACAACTATATATCAACTTGACAATATGCAACTATTGTCTCACTGGACATTGAATCGCCAAGATGCAAACATATTATGAAACCCTTGGGTTCCACACATGCTTCTCCTCATCTCCATAAGGTGCAGCAGACCTAGTTCTTGAGGATAATCAGGGTCTATTACTTTCATAAGCAGAATATTTTTTTTTTTAGCTGCTGCCTACAGGCATGCTGAATCCAACTGGCATTTCAGCTTCAAGTTCAGTAGATTTATACCTTTCTCCTGGTAGAATTGTTCTCTTCCCCATCCACCACTATTAAGACTCTTATCCAATAGAGGCTAAGGTTGCAGGATAAGAAACACAAAACCCCTAACCATTCAATTCTTGGTCCTGTGAAACTGTGCTACTGAGAACTTGGAGCTTAATATTTATCTCCATATGTGTCCATAGCATATCCTGGAAATCTGCATTCCATCCCTCCTAGGTGTTGTCCTCAAGCTGGGTTCTTAAGTGAGCTTTTAACAGGATTTTCTACCACTCTATTAAAATGTCCACTTCTGAATGACAGGGTACAAGGAATAATTAGTGGATTCTGTGTGCAAATACCCACAGCTCTGCCTTTCCTACTAAAGAATATAACCTTCGGTGTGAGCAATGTTGTGTGAGACCTCATGTTGATAAATAAAGCATTGTCTAGAGCTTTGGATGTAACTTCAGACAGCAATGCAAACCCCTATTTTCAATTAAGAATTAAGTCCTATAAAGATAAATTTTTATATACCCAATCCAGGATAAAAGATGTCTAATTGTAATCAACCTGATACCAAGAGACTGATCTCTTCGGTCTGTGCTACTGACTGTTTGGGCATGCAAAAGTAACACAAGCTAGAGGAGAGGGATCCCATACAAGCCTCTATCCCTGCCAATGACCACCTTGTTTGGGGGGCCTGCTGTCAGCACAGGGGCAATCAATGACAGAGACGGACTGAAATGTAAGAGGCATGTCCTTCCTAACCAGTTGTTGATTGACCCTTCCTTCAGCAGTGCATATTCTCTGATAAGCAGTAATATCTATATATTTGGCCCATAGGCTATAGTTTGCCTGCCCCTAATATAGAAGAATGAATTCTCCAGATCAGTAGCTGCATATGAAGAGCTAGAGACTATGTTGATCTGCTCCATTAATGGTTCCATATTTTGCATGTAAGCCAAAATGAGAATTATTATT